CTTGTAAAGAAAAAGCTTCCCTTTCCATTTGTTATAAATATCAATGTCAGAGAGAGTTATTGAAATTTTTTTTAAAGATAGAATGACATGGGAAGGGCATGCCATGTAGGCTTGAAATGTTTTCTTATATCTCAGTGCAGTAAGAAGACGAGTTTTTAAGCTTATATTCTGGTTTGTCAATATTTAAAGTATGTTGTTCTAATTAGTTGGGCATTAAGAAGATCATATAAAGGTAGAAAAAATCTAAAATTTGGAATGCAGACATGACACAGAGAAGTAAAAATTGCAATTTTTTTTTAATTTCCTTTGAAAACTAAGATATTAAGTCAAATAATATTCAAATTGAAATTATAATGTAACTGTAAAAGGTCATGACATGCACACTTTCATCATGCAGTGCACATAGGATTAATGCAGCTTACAAAAATATTTTCCTTTATTTACTCTAATTTATATGAAAGTTATAATTTTCCTATACTGAAAATGTATTTCCGATAGGTACATACCTCTGGTCACACAAATAGCTCTTCTATTCAGTGCTGCCCTCTATATACAAAAAATTATTTGTGCATGCCACAAGCCTTGAAACTCCCACCCATCTGGAATTAACTAATTCAAATGCGTCTCACATGGAAATTATCATGCAACAACCCTCCACCAATAAGAGAGTGACACAGTCTCTTGATGCATGTGTTCCTTCTATTCACTTCTACCAAACTATCACTTCAAGTGTTAGCAGAAAATGGAAGTACCGGTTTTCAGTGGGACGGAAGGGTGGGAAGTGTGAGAAGAGGTAAGTATCTATCAGAAATACAATTTCAGTAAAGCAAAATTATAACTTCCAATATGGTACATTACTTCCTCTCACATAAATAACCAGAATCGCACATTGAATAGGTGGAGTGACTGGTGCAAGAGAAGGAAAGAAGCATCTGAAGGACATCTCCAAAAGGAGATCTTAGAGTCGAAGATCATACATGGGACACACCACTTCTTCCCCTAACATAGAAAGATGTTGCATGTTTGGGCAGAAAGATGGAAGAGCACATTAAAGTAGTAGAGAACTATGGTAGGATAGCAATTCAAACCATACATTATATATTAAACTCAATCCCTGAAAACATAAAAGTGGATAAGATTAAAGGATGTGTAGAGTGGCTAGCTTGTACACTGCAAGTCATGGATGGCAACAGGTGTGTCAGATATAAAAGATTATTTAATGTAGGAAATATTATTAATTTATTTTGTGTTTGTAATTCCTTGATGTCGAGGCTATCAAACGTTGTGTTTGCAATCCATTGATGTCGAAGCTATGGAGATTTCTAGAAGGTCTAAGTGATAGACATTTAAAAAGCTACAACCAGATGAGCAGAAACAGAGTAAAAGTAAAGTCACGTGAAAGAGAAGAATCCTTAGCCCAACACATCCATATATTTACATTACTATATATAATAAAAATAAAGGTAGTTTCCGACACTTGGCGAGCCGCAGCCAAAATTATACAGTGGTAAACGGCAGTAGAAGAAAACGTGAACGACAGTTAAAATATGTAGACTTATATATGAACAACTGCAGTAGTAGCGCAAATAGTGTAGAGATTACAATCACGCTATATAATCATGTCAAATTTTTATAAATTGATAGAAAGAGAAGAGTGTCTCAGGTTAAAGGACAGTGAACTTGAGAGTTTGTTAAACAACAACTAGAGAGGGAAGAGTGGCAAAAGAGAAGAGAAGAAGAAAGACTGAAAGGCAAAAAATAGAGAGAAGAAATGACAGAAAATAAAAACTGGAAATAGTGGGAAAGAGACAGAATAAGAGCACAAATTGAGAAAGAAGAAAAAGAGAAATAGGAGAGACTAGCAGAACAAACTGAGATTGCAAAGCTCACCCAACTGAAGGAAGAAGGACCCAAGAATGACAACAGAATCATGGCCAGCCAACCCAAACTGCCCAAATTTGATGAACAGAAAGATGACATGGATGCTTTCCTGGAGAAATATAAAAAATTCACCCAGAATCAGAACTGGGACAAAAGTGACTGGGCAGTCTGTCTCAGCCAACTTCTCACAGGAAAAGGCCGACAAGTATATGCAGGCATGATGTCAGAAGATGCCATGTACTATGACAAAATAAAAGTGGCTTTAATGAAATGATACAAACTTACTGAAGAAGGTTTTCACCAGAAGTTAAAACAAGTCAAACCTGACACTGGAAAAACTATATTTCAGTTTGGGGCACGTCCACATTGATACTTCACAAGATGGACTGACATGGACAAATGTGATAATAGTTTTGAGGAACTGACAGACCTATTAGACGTGAACAGTTCATGATCACGTGTTCAACTGACACGTCACTGTTCCTATAGGAGAGAGCACCAGAAAATGTGGAGGAGATGATCAAGCTGGCAGAACAGTATGTGGAAGCCCATGGAGGGAGTATAACTGGCAAATCCAAAAATATCCAGTTAAATTCAAAACCAGTGATGGCTGACCAGAGACAAGAGTCTACCAAAGGTGACAGGAGATTAATAATTGGAAGGGAAAAGTTTGTGTGCTTGTTATGGATTCAAACCTGCAACCCACGGATTGTGAGTTGAGCACCCTATAACCTGGCCATGCCGGGCCTGAAAGGGAGAAGAGATGCTATGTTTGTTATAAATTGGGACACATTGCAAAAGAGTGCAAGTCCATTACCAGCAAAAATCTACACATAAAGCAGCTGTAGCTATTTACAAAGATAGTGCTGGTAAGAAACAAGAAAAGTGACTGGCACCATGGATGCTATTGCCATAGGAAACAGGAAAACACATCAGATTCACCCCAAGAGGGAAGTACCAATTCCATGATTGATCAGTATATGACTAATGGTTGGCTCAAGTTACCAAACAGATCAATAGTGCCAGTGGTGCTTGGAGCATGTGACAAACATTGAAAGGTGATACCAAATCACAACATACCATTAAGTGAAGGATATGTTGGGGACAAGAAAGTGAAGGTTCTGCAACATACTGAGTGCAATAGTGCAGCAGTGAGAACCAGCTTAGTATCTATGATCAGATGAAAAGCAAGGTATGCCTGTGTGTGCTAGCTGATGGGACAGTTTCCCATAGCAAAAATAAGGGTGGATACTCCATATTATGTAGGAGACCTTGAGGCCATGTGTATCAAGGAAGTGCAGAAGAAAGACCCTTCACCATAGAAGCTTCGGGACAGTGCCCGAGGAGAAGTCAAGCACAAGTCTTGTGTTGGTTGTGTTGAAGGTTTGCACATATGGAGGTGGGTTCTTAGTATGGAAGCTTCTCTTCCTTGCTGGTACCCATTTTTGATGTGAAAGGTAGAGGACTCTCTTCCTACCACAGACCTGATGTACAATTCCAGATGCTACCAGGTGTTGTTTGAGGTTTAACTCTCAATTATGGCCTGTCATGCTCTAGCTACTCTACACCAAGGAGTCCCTGTATTTTTTTCTAACTTTTCCTAAGGTCTCTCTTTTGTTTCTGCCATTTTGGTGACGCATTACTAATGGGCAAAGAATACACTTGGCTCAGAAGTGGTGCAGTCTTCCATGGATATGTTGTTTTTAATTCATTTTCACACCCCATGTTTTCCTTTGGGTAATTCCTTAAGGGGGATCATCTTCTCACCACACCTCCACCTGTTTTGTGTGGGATTCTAGCTTTTTGTGAGAGGTGTGTAGAAGTAAGATATCGTATTTGAAATATGTGATGTGGTCTGATCAAACATGCTCTGTAGAGGAGAAATATGGCAAAAATCACCTGAAGCACTTGATCCTGCTCGTGTTGTTCTGACAGTGCAAGCTGCTAGAAGTGGTATAATGGTATGGGAAATGTTTCCATAGCATTAGTTTAGTTCTTTGACTCCTTTAAATGAACAAATAAAATTTTGTATATTTCAACAATATTACAAGTCAAGTTCTTCCTACAACTTTGATTTCTACTATTGGAATAAATCTCTTTTGAAACAAACAACAACAGGTTTGTATTGTCAGAAATGGTATGAAGAGTGTGCTAGTGACTTTACTAATGTTATTTAGCCATCATAGTCACCATATTTTCAATCTAAATAAACATCTTTGAGATGAACTGGAATGACTCATTTACTATTGTAATACTTCAATGACATTTGAAAACAATGGTATATCATTCATCTATATGAATGAGCTTCAAACACACAAGACACCTTCTGGAATGCTGCAATGGTCTAAAGAAAATGTCACTATAACCAGAGTCAAACAAAATTACTTTATTAAAATATAACAACAGAAGTTCAAAATAACACTTTCAAACAACTAGAATACAAATTTTATCACTTCCAAAAAACAATTAGTAAACCTTTGCCTTTCCAAGACAGGATTCAAACCTTAATAAACAATACAAAGTAAATTACAATGTTATTAATTTCAATAAATATCAAAGGAATATTAATAATAAAAAAAAAACAAAGACTTAATTCACCACAGAATTATACAATGTTTCAAGATCAATAACAAAACTGAGCAATAATCTTTCTAACTACATCACATGAAATAACCAATTCTCAAGATCAAAGAAGGTCTTTTATTTAGTAGTTAGACTACAAGGTTACATCTCACGTCATTAGCTATTACTATAAATTTACATAATCTTCACAACATTAAGATGTGTACGTCACTGATAGAGGAAGCTTGTGGTAGTTTCATACAGACATACATACTCAAAATCAATGTGCAACAGATAGAAGGTGAATAAGCCCTTTAATATAACTAAACATTCATAGTTGAACTAAAAAACAGAAGAGATAATAAATAAACAGTAAACAAAATAAAAGTAAGATTCACTATCTCACAACACTAAGTCCAAACTATACTTAACATTAAGTGAATGGTCCTAATACAGAGGCAACTATACGTACAGCAGAATTAAAAATCTGCAGATTTTTAATTAGATTTATTTACTTAATAGTAGTTTCTCTTCTTATAAAGAAAGCAGAAACTTACCAGTGCCAGTTGGGTCCCCTCCTTGAATCATAAAGTTTGGAATTATTCGATGAAACTTAACATCAATGTAGTATCCACGTCTGGTTAGTTCTGCAAAGTTGCGGCAAGTGTTGGGAGCCTCATTCCAATACAGTTCTATGGTCATCACTCCCATTCTGAAATGCAAAACAATATTACTAGCTTTTAACACAAAAGCTGTTCCTACTTTGTTTATTCTTGTGTTTTTACTGTATTCTGACCCTCTCCCCCTAAAAACCTAGCTATAGTATAGGCACTTGAGAATGTCAGATCCTAGTTTTAATCTCCTTTTTGTATTAAAATGGTCCTGTTTTGGTTTGTGCACATTTTTAATTAACTTTCATGACGGGTTTCACATTTAAGTTAGTTTCTTCTGAGAAATTTGTTTAGAAGCTCCAATGTAACACACCTACTGTTTCATTCTACTTTTCTGTTTAGGACCAGTCTGCCCTTATGGCAATAAAGTATTATAAAAAGATGTTTGGGTGTAAGTAAATGAACAATGTCTTCCTTTTTTTCTGCTTGTTTGGTTAGAAAGAATGAGGTTAAGATTACTTCTAGTTTCATCAGTTATTTTACACTGTCCTAAAATTCAGTACTTATTTGTGACAAATGCACAATCAAAGATAGTTGTGAAGTGAGTGTGAACCACAATAATTCTCTGTATACACACTCAATCATTTTGATCAACCTTGTAACCATCATGTAACTACAAATTATATCTCTGAATGTACCAAATGTATCTTCACAAGATTCCACAAGCTTCTAGTAAATGTTACAATTTTTTAATAAAGTATTCTTACTAAACATTTGTCTCTGAATTTACGTGTTTAATGGGCCAGTCTAAGTGAAAGATGATTTTTTTATGCTAAGAATAAAGGTGTTTCTTTTCATCATACAGTTTTCTTATTTCATTTGCATAATTCCTACAAGGTCCTAAATGAATATGAAAAGTTTTTTTTTTTTGGTAAAACACTCTCTATCCTAATAGTTACTAACAACAGTTGAGAAATATGAAACAGTATTATTTTTTTAATGACTGCTGATTGTAACATACAATTACAATTATCTTCAACAACTTCACATCTGCTTTCATTTAATTCTATTGTTTTATTGCTCTTCTGAACTGTGTTTAACTAGCATAACAAAACAATAAATCACCTGATAAAAGCTTAGGGTGAACAAGTTATAAGTTTAATTTCAAGATAGCCTACATGAGTTACTAAGGGAGAAATTTATCTGAATATTTTTTCTCAAGTTTTCTTAATCTGGGTTCTGCTCACTCTTGCCATATAAATCCTTTAAACACTGTGGTTAATGCAATGAAATCTGCATTAGCCACACACATATTTCATCAGCCACACCTCTTAAAGTATTAAACTTATGTTAGTGAGTCTATTGAAGCTGTTAAATGTAAATGTGTTATATTTGAGATATTCTAGTAATATAATGAAGCTGTGAATGTAAGAATGATAACTTTTGAGGGATCTGTAATCAAAGTAATCACACCATTAACATTTATACTACATAATATATATAAAAGATAAGATGTTTTATGTTTAGGAACTTTTTTATGTTGTAAGTTAATACATGATCAAGACTAGACATAAACTAAATGACCAATAGTATGTAGCATTGCACTGGCAATAATCATCAATACTGTTTTACATAAAAATGTAAATAACTAAGATAGTGAGTAATACTTTGCTGCAATACTGTAAAATTGTACTAAACATGCACTGGTCTGTAAGAAACAAAAGCTCTGATAAAGTCTTGATGTAATCACAAACACTTTATGTTTGAAAGCTTGTAGCCAAAGAGATATCCATTGAAGAGCCACACTCTTTACGGGACTTTGTAGACAGGGTTTGCAACCTGTCCACTCCTTTTTCCATGGATAATTGTGGATGCTTCTGATACTCAGAAGCTGAGCTTTCCTCTTTGCTACTCTGTTGCTCAGTCACACTGGCCTTCATCATAGCTGCATAACCTCTTCTACCCTTGGTCGCAGTCCAAACTTCGAAGACTTTCTCACAGTCAAAGGACTCTAATGGTCTAGAGTGCAAGGACAAGGTAATCAGTTTTTCAACATGATCCACATGAAGCATGTTACAAGCATCACTTGTAATATGATTACACGTGCTAAACCCTCTCTCACAATCAACTGAGGTAACTGGGATTATAAGTCCAATACAAGCCAGTTTGCTCAGGTTTGGTAAACCTGTGGTGTCATCAAGAAAACCTTTGTAAAATGTTGCCAAATTCATGTTCTTGAATTGTTCCTACTGTATTACATTCTTCAATAGAACCCACTCAACTTTGATTGATAATGTATCTATGAATGCCTCATACCTCTTAAGCAAAGTGTTGAACTCAGATTCATCTTTACCAGGTGCTGCTAGATGGTGCACTAGGCTTAGCAGCTCAAAAGTCATCATGTAGTTGCTGGCAGTAAAGGTAACAGCAAGCCTGTTATCAAATTCCTCAAGAAATGCTTCAGCAGCAGATTGGAACTTTTCCCTCTGAGATAGAGAATCTTTTATATCATGTCCATGGAAGACAGTGTAGCCAACTGTACATGGTTGATCTGATATTATATCTAACACCTTCTTAGGGTGAGGGCCTGATGATGTAAGAAGACTCTTTAGTGCAAGTCTGGCAGCATCTACCTGTGGCATGACTGCTGTATATCTGACTTCTTCCTTCTGCATGACCTTTGACAAGATTGCTAAAACACCCACTGCATTACAGAAAGTGTGTCATCATAACAAATTTGTAAGATGCCATCTATATCGTGAGACCATGTAACACTGCCTTACCTTCCAGGCCATGCTCAGCACCAGCTGCAGCAAGATAACTGATGACTGCCTCCAGGCACCTACTGAGAGCTTGTAAGCTTTCAATAAAAGAAAGCCATCTGGTGAAAAATTGTAAAATATCACATAATTGTACATTATCTACTTATTTGTTTTAATCACTAAAAGAACAGAATATTTACATCTAAAATTCTAAAAGTGTTGAAGATATCAACAAACAGTTTGCACTTTTGAAACATAGTTTAGCCTAAACTAAATATCTACAAAAATAATGTGTAAGAATAATGTGAATAATTATATAATTATAATTTGATAATTTAGAACAATTAATAGATAAAGATTACCAGTAGCTTATTCTTATAAAAATGTTATTGCAGCTTCAACCAAGAGCATCCTCATATCATTGCAAACCATTGTATGGCTCAGAGACTTCAACTTATGAGTGTGAATTCAGCAAACAAGGTGCCCTACTTAGTGAAGTACTTAGGAATTATCAATCAGTTCACCAAGTCTTTGAAATTTTCCCCCAAGCTTTGCCAAAAGTGCCAACAACATTTGCCAAATGGTTAGTTTACAATTAGACTTAGTAGGGTTACTAATATGATAAAGTATCACTGACACAAATATTAATTATACTTGGATTATCAGTGGTAACAATAATATATATAAAGTTATGAGTCGAAAACCTATTTTTGTTTTTAAATAAACAAATTAAAGTAAAACAAACTATAAATTCTTGTGAATGTGAACAGATCATACTTAGCAACTCCTGTGTGGACCCTATTCATCACAGGTGCACGATCTGTAGCAATGCTGACCATGTTTTATGACTGCAGATCATGCTCCAGCATCACCTTCCTGATCCCATCCTACACTCCATCTGCAGATGTAGCAGAAAGTTCAAACATGCCTAGAAATTTTGTATGGACTTCATGATCTACCCCCATAAATCTGAGATACACAATAACAGTAGATAGATCTGAGTTATCTGTCACATCAGTAGAAATAGCAAAAACATAAATGGGTCTTTTTGTCATTCTTTCGTGATTTCTTCCCTGACAACTGTAGCAAGAGCCTAGTACATTTCATTAATAGAATCATTATGCTGGTAGTGGCTTGATGTTTCTGTATGCAGATGTTTAAGTGATGTCACACCCTGTCAGTGAAAAATATGAGACAAAACTCTAGTCAGCATATCAGAGTAAAATTAGACCAATTATTTTATAGTAAACTAAATCTATATTAATATAGTTTACATTTAATGAGCAGATTAATGTTTTTGAACCAATTAATGTTTCATACAATAAAATATGCTGCAAAGTCACCAATAATATCATGGATATGGTATTGTATGAAGTAGTTTCCAAAATGCAAATTTAACTTGCATTGAAAATCTGAAGATGAGAGGAGTATTTATTGATGTTGGTATGCCCTCCTTGGCTTAGGTCAAAATAGTGGCCATTTGAGAAATCATGGCATCTTTTACACTGGAATAAGCATTCACAGTGGCAACTTTCATGTGTTATTTTAACTTTGGCTGAATAGCAGTATCACGATGATCAACCATCTTTTCATGCTTCATCAAATCGTTCCTATTTGACCTGTCCAGATCTTTGTGGACAGTAAAGATGTTATCTTTTTTTTGCTTCAATGCACACACAGAGCATTTCAGTAGATCAACCCTCACTACTAAACATATAAAATTCTTGAACCATTGAGCCTCAACAGTTCTCGAGTGGTCACGATCAAACTTCTTTTTCCACATGCCTGGATCATTGTTCTTTTCTAGGAGTGGCAGGAAAAAAGATGATATTGGTTTGATTTCTTTTGACTTTCATTTTCTTGGAGCCTGAGACACCATCTTTACAGAACTGGATTTGACATAAGTATGGCTATCTCTGATTGGATAAAATTCCCCCTTCAATGTCTCAAGAAAAAAATTCCCACATAAAAAATAGATAAACTTAGGCATGTGTGGGATTCCTATTCTACACTGGCAATGCAATATAAACATACGGTAAAGGCAACCGGGAAACTAAACTACAAAAATATTAAATTGTGTTGACAATTCATTGGATGGTCTTGGTATTTGTATATTCATTTGTGTGGGTGAGTTTCTATTCTCAATAATGACAAACAGCTTTAGATAAATGTTAATTTATTCAACCAGCATTTTGACTTACATCTTTTTCAAGGGTCAATGTATGTCACAGGTACCAAACTGATTTTAAGTTAGAGTAACCGAAAAGAAAATAGAACTACAATAATATAAGGGAATAATAAATGTGAAGCATGCTAAAAGTATTCCTAAATGGGTTATA